GAAAAAACAAGCAATAAATAAAAACAAAAACGGGCCAAAAACTCATAACTGACTTTTTGACAAGACCCGGGATTCGAAACCGAGACCTCATGATCAGCACTCGCACTACTACAACCACTAGACCAACGAGGCGGTACTATACCTAATAAGATATTGTGGTTGGGTGATAATATTGAATTAGCCTTTTGTAGTGTAAATTATAATATTTGTCGAAATTTTAATTATGGATTCGAACCTTACATGCTAATGGTGCTTCAATTTTTTATTTGCATTTACTTCAAAGAAAATACACGCAAAAAGCTTCATCGCGCAGTAAAAAACACAACAAATATATATATAACTAATACGAAAAATTATACCCAAAACAAACAAATAATACTACCTATAAATAACCTAATAAGTAATATTATTATCGACTAATATGACGTGAGTGTATGTGCTGGTCGACGCTCTAACGACACGGGCTTCGCGTCGAAGAGCTCAGGGCTCACTGACTTCAGCAAGCCCGTGAGCAGTGAATATGCCCAGATTTTAAAATAAATTCTTAATAAAATCAAATTTTGGTCTTTTGAAAAAAAATTTTCTATAGAAATATTCATTAATAAATTGCCTATCCATTGGTGTAAATCGCAAAATAAAATAATACTTACTTTACGAGGAGATGCATGTTATCAATAATAATTTCACATTTATGTGGTTTCGTTGTAAGGAGATTATATTAATATTTATTCCTTTAAAAATTGGATATAGCTTTTATGGAGTCAAGATTATGTAGAAATATAATGTGTTTTTTATTTGTTGATATATCTTTTAAATAAAAAGTAGATAGCTTCTAAAAACAGCACAAATAACGACTAGCGCGACATTTTGCTCAACCTGCGCCTTAATTGATACATTTATTTATTGTATTGCATTATATCAATTTAATTTATAAATAGAATGGACTTTACGGGTAGGCCTGGGTAAAGAATTTTTATCGATATGTTTTGTCATACTGTCTTATATCTATTACTAGTTTCTTGGACGTTTACTACTGCTGTCAGCGCCAAAATGACGAAAATCAAATCGCCTCTTTATGTCACGTTGTATAGCCAGTCCATATATATATATAGAGTTCAGTGATGAGTGTACACTACAATCGCCACAGTAGGCGGCCATATGAAACTTTTTAGCGGGAATTTCAAAGCTTGTATTCTGTAACTTTAATTTTTTTTTGTTTATTTCAGGCAAATTTGAGTAATTTTGGCTCAAGCCTCACAAATCTATTAGGTCAATTTTCCTTTTGAGAGGTTGCATCAAAACTACTCGGATTTACTTAAGATGAGTATTTGGGATAAAATAAAACTAAAAATAGGTATAGTTATATAATTTAATTTTTTGGAAGATTGTTTTATACATTATATATTATTATTGATGCTTTTTATTGCTTTTGCAGCTAATATTTCCAATGGTTATATTGACTTATAACATACTAGCTGTTCCCCGCGACTTCGCCCGCGTGGAACTTGGATTCCATGGTTTTTTTTTGCACGGAACCCTAATTATTTTTCTAAAACAAAAGTAGTCTAAGTTACTCCTTATATCATCAGCTATCTGTCAGTGAAAGCCCCGTCAAAATCGTTTGAGCCTTTTCGGAGATTAGCCAGAACAAACAGACAGACAGACAGACAGACAGACCGACAGACAGACAAAAATTTTAAAAATTGTGGTTTTGTTATAAGTACAGTATATACTTTCATATGCATTTAGTAAAAAGCTGTTATTTTAACATTAAAAACAGGCACTTAATTTTTATTTATTTGTATAGATATTATACTAATGCTCCGCGAGTCTCGGACGCAAAGCTACTGTACATTAAAACGTGTAACAAATACGGATTCATTTATAATAATTTTTGTCAACTAAGGCTCAATTATGAAAGAAAAACAATTTATTTTGACACAGACAATTAACGTACATAAAAATATTTTAATTTATAACAGAAATACGAAATTTCAATAATGTATGACAAAGGCATGCCCAAAAAAGTAATCACTCAGCATAAGTTTTGGAGAAATTACAACGCAAAATTTTAATTAACGACTTAAAAGTAAATAAGATGTTACATTGGAGAATATTACAGCTCTTACAGTAGTTATGGTAGTGAAATATAATCAATGAAAAAAAGTTAAGCATTCTTTAAACAGAAATGTATTTACCGAGCACCGGTATGTTCATACCTTTATACTATTAAAGGTATATCTATTTCCATATTGCTCATTATACCGAAATTGACCAAGAACAATCTAGTTGGATTTCGTCCAAATGAATGTCCACCGTACCGTGCAACGCTGCAAATCACAATGTGCATCATTAACTATTTGAAATATGAGCGCAGCTTCAGCACTTGTAACTTATCTTGTAGCAATAAGGTACATAATGGTGGTTGCCATTACGAAAATAATTAAATTTGAAATATTCGTTCGTTTGCCATTAACTACAACCTATCAAAGGTCCACTCTTGAGCATTGGCCTCCCAAGTAGTATTTTGTATTAAGATAAAATACTTTCCTAAAAAATGAACCAATAATCCTGTCCACCAATTCAACTAAGCTAGTCTCGTACATACTCTCTGTAACCACTCCTAGTTCACGGAATAAATCGAATGCGGATTTGAACCCACGACTTTTGAGTTTCGCAGTCCATATTTTCAACCATTAGACTACTGTGGCCTTATAATCGTATTCAAATTATCATAAAGATGACAAAATGAAATAGACTGCAATGCGTGCATATAGATGGAATCATAAGAGATGACTATAGGAATTGTCAATTGGAGAAGGAGATGCAGGTGTTTATAGGCCCCAGATTCACTTACCGTCAAGTGGTATGTGTGTTCGTTTGTCACCATTTCTTTTGTAAAACAAGCAACAACAAACAAAGATTGTGTAAACAGTTTACTGGAAAGGGTAACATTTTATACCCTATATCATTACAATTACGACGGATATAACTACACCTCATAAGTTAAAAACCATCAAGCCGTTTAGTCTACAGAGCGTGCCACAGAAAAAGAAATACTCGTACATACATACATACTTAATTTTATTAAAATTAGTAAATTATACACGATAAAATCCGTAAAAATAGTTTTATTCAATGTGTAGTGTTTGCGTAAATATGAGAAATCATTAATATCATAACATTATATTTTATCAGTATTCATCGTAATAATTTATTTTTCTATACAAAGATACAAGTTAATTACTACTTTACAAAACTAGTTGCGTTCTGCAACTTTACTTGACTCATCGTAATGAAAACAAAGGTTTGTGCTGGTAAGTACGAGTACCTACCTAATTTCACTATATTTTACCCATATCTCAGGCATTCAGCTTAAAATATTTGATAGGGGGTTGATGAATACATCAATGTGAGTGTCAGCGGTCAACCAGTAAAACAAGCAACAACAAACAAAGAATGTGTAAACAGTTTACTGGAAAGGGTAACATTTTATACCCTATATCATTACAATTACGACGGATATAACTACACCTCATAAGTTAAAAACCATCAAGCCGTTTAGTCTACAGAGCGTGCCACAGAAAAATAAATACTCGTACATACATACATACTTATGAAATACGTTACCCTTTTTCTGGAGCTACCTTATCACTATATTTTTTCATGCTTTGTAAACTAAGATAAGATAGCGACAAACTCTTTATAATGTCAAACTATTTGGTATTCCTGTTTCCTTTGAAACATCACATGTTAAACCTACGACTGATATGTTGCGGGCGGTTAATTTTCAACTAGGATTGTCAAAAGGAAAATAATCGATTGTATGTTACTATCAGGATGAACGAAATTAATTCGGAATAATTGAGTCATAACAAAAAATATGCAAGGGTTATCACATACAAAACATTTACTCAAATGATAATATCATAACATTGAATAAAACTATTTTTACTCTGAACTTCGACGTTACAGGGACGAAATGGCTTGACGTATGGCCTCCAAATCTTCCTTTCCCACATTGTTTTTAAACAGACAGTCTACAACGTTATAGAGAATTTCTTCATACGGGATTTTCGCGGTGTTATTGCAAAATTCAGGCCCTTCGACAAAACTTTTAAAGTAGATATGACTAGTGTTTGTTTTGACAGATTAATGATCGTGCGTTGTTTATTGTGCGCGTCTGTGGTTAACGGTTGCTTTTCATTTCTTCGTTGACATGGATGCTTGGATTCTGAGTAGATCGGATCAAAAATTAATATTCAAAAACTGAAGGTAGCTAGACTAACTATGACATCGGGACGTCAAACACCTCAGTCCCTCCCTCACCATGGGTGCTGAGAAGCACCCGAAACGTCGGGAATTAAAATAAGTAAATTAAACGCGATAAAATCCGTAAAAATAGTTTTATTCAATGTGTAGTGCTTGCGTAAATATAAGAAATCATTAATATCATAACATTATATTTTATCAGTATTCCTCGTAATAATTTATTTTTCTATACAAAGATACAAGCTAATTACTACTTTACAAAACTAGTTGTGCTCTGCAGCTTTACTTGACTCGTCGTAATTGAAACAAAGGCTTGTGCTGGTAAGTACCTACCTAATTTCACTACATTTTACCCATATAGCAGTATCTCAGGCATTCAGCTTAAAATATTTGATAGGGGGTTGAATACATCAATGTGAGTGTCAGCGGTCCACCAGTTTCTTCAGGGTCGGTGTGTGCTGATAATATTATATCACCACCAAAACTCTATGATAGTACCATAGCACAGGAGATTAAAATAAAAAATAATTCAATTATGACATGGGGAAAAAGTTTGGCGTAATTTAAATAACGCTTTAAAGGGAAAAATAATTGTAAATTGCTGCATGCCAGGAGTTTCTTTTAGTGACATCCTAAGTAAAAGTATAGTAACCAAATTTTGCCCAAATAGTACAATAATAATTTTTGTTGGTAGAAGAGGCAGTGTAAACAACTAACAGTTACGCTGAGGAGAGGACGCGTGAACGCTGAGTGAAAGAAGACGTGCTATAAGTTATGCATACAATTTAATTATAAAACGAGTAGAATTAGTGATCGGTCTGTCCAAAAAGTGTTACAGTTGGGACAATAAACTAAGTGTGTCAAGTGTAAAACTTGTAAGGTGCAAAACATCAGAGTTATAATCGGAAAATATACAATTATACATTGTTTACAGACGGTACTTGGGTCAGTCTCAGTGTCAGTGTTAAAAATAAATAAACTATCACCCGCAGCTGACCACAGTATTACTGATAGACAAGTGGATTGACATTCTAATATTCGCCCTACATATCACGCCTAATTTAGCCGGGCGGTCGGAGTTGCGGCTACAGTGATCAAGGAACCGAGTTCAATACCGCGACGGTGCAGACTTTTTGCTTTTTTTAATATTTTTTTTATTTCATTATTTTTTTTTTGTTTTTGTTTTTGCAAATAGAACTATACAAAATTCGTGATAACAATGTCAATCAATAAGTCATGCAATAGATCCGGTGCCCAGAAGATGGCGCCGCCTGCCGGAAGTCTGCCGGCCTGCGCGGGATGCCGCCGCGAAATTACGAGCAGCCGCTACTTGCAGTGCAGTAAGTGCTCTCAGTATTGGGACCTCGAATGTGCCAACGTACCGGAATGCAGCTTCTTGAATACTATGACAAAGGAGCACAGGGCTAATTGGACATGCCCCGAATGCGCCTGCAAACATCGGAAGGGAGGCGATAATGCCGAGACACCGGTGAAGCTCCAGACGGACAATCCCTACGGCAACGTCAATACCCGTCGCGACACGGCCGGGCACCACGGATACTCCCTGGATGAGAGCGGAATGACCCTGGACGATCAGACGGACGAGGGTGATCCAAGCGCGTTGGAGCAGCTGCCGGCGCCGTCGACCAGGGAAGAGCCGCGGTTGACATCGATGGCTAATAATAACCACCCGCCGCTGGTAACACTCGGCGGGGCGACACTAGGCGAGGCTACACTCGGTGAGGTGATCAGGGAGATCAGACTCCTCAGGGAAGTTATGCGCGAGGAGCTGAAGGCTACGCGCGCCGATGTCGCCTCTATCAGAGATAACTTGGTGCAGTTGTCTGGGAGAGTGGAGCGCTGCGAAAGCTACGTCAACGGAATCGACGGGCGAATGAAGGCGATGGAGGAGCGACTGCGTCGGGATAGCGAGGTTGGCGGGCCGCGTCTTGACGAGTTCGAGCGAAGACTCGAGGCGGCGGAGCGACGGCAGGCGGAGGTGGTTTCCGAGGCTGGCTCGAGCGCGGTCGCGGGCCTGGAGCGCACCGTCGCGGAGCTCAGGCTCGAGCTCAACGACCGGGACCAGGATGCGTTGCTCACTGACCTCGAAATAGGTCAGCTTCCGGAGGCGAAGGGTGAAAACGTCACGCACAGCGTCATCGTGCTCGCTGGCCGCCTGGGGGTGACCCTGGACGAGCGGGACGTGGTGTTCGTGGAGCGCATGGGCACGCCCCCGGCGGGGGCGGGCGAGGCGCGCGCGCGCCGTGTGGTGGTGCGCCTGGCGCGGCGCCAGCTGCGTGACGAGCTTCTGCAGGCCGCGCGCGTGCGCCGCGGCCTCACCGGCGAGGGTGGGGCGAGGGTGTTCGTTAATGAGCGCCTGACCCGCGCGAACCGCCAACTCTTTCGTCAGGTTCGGGAGGAGTGCCGCCGACTCCAATGGAAGTACGCCTGGACCAAGAGGGGTCGCATTTTCGCTCGTAAGAGCGATGGTGCGCAGGTGTTCCAGTTGCGCTCGATGGTCGACGTTGTGAAGCTGTTCGGCAGCCCGTCGCAATGACTGACAGCCCATTATAAATTATTTAAAAAAAACAATAAGTTTCACATACGTTGTCTCACTGAAAAATATTATATTATTCATTGGCTTACCTCTAATATGATCTCGGTGCTTTCTTTCTTTTATTGCTACTTTTTTTGTGTCAGTCTAGTATTAGGAAATTCAATAAAAAATACTATTATAAGCTGTTGCGGGTTGTTCCAATATCATATATTTACAGAAAATAAATACAATTCTATTCTTAACATTTATATCCTAAATATTTACAATTTCATGTTAGTATTGTTGAAAAATATTATTTCAAATTTATCATTTATTACTTCTATAGTAAATGGTCACACAAAAAATACTAACATTACAGTCTATTGGTGTTTATATTACACACATATATCACGGGCCCAGGGTTAAAGAATTTTTTAGTTGGTTTTTTCAATGCAGGATCTCTCTGTACTAAGCATGAGGAATTTATAATGGCAATGGATGACTTGGCCCCGGACATTATGGCTATAAATGAAACATGGTTGAGAGCTGGAGAGGGGGACAGAGCTCCTAAACTGGCCGATTACCGGCTGTGGCACACTCCAAGGCCAAGCCATATCAAAAATGGGCTTGGGGGTGGGGTAGGCTTCTACGTACGCAGAGGTATGAATGTGAGGCCTTGTTCTCACCCTAGCAATGTGGCATCGGTGGAACAGATGTGGGTTTCCACGCGCCTACTCAATAAGGTCATAGTTATTGGCACAGCTTACAGACCACCCTGGCAAGACCCAGAACTGTTCCTTGACGCTATAACTGAGTCTATTGCCTCCTTCACCTGGGCAGATGGACTGATTTTGACTGGAGACTTCAACATAAACCTGCTTGATGAGGGCAGTAGTAGATGCAGGGAGCTAATGCAGTGTATACGCAGTCAAAATCTCAAGCAATTAGTGACTGAACCAACACATCACACTGAGCATAGTGCAACACTGATTGATGTGATTTGCACAGACTTGCCAGCACTCCGGGTAGTAGTGAAATACTCCCCAGACCTGAGCCGCCACGCCATGTTGCTGGCTGAATTCAGAATAAAAACAGAGAAAATCAGTCCTCGATGGGTTACATACCGACCTTACAAAGACATCGTCCTGGAGCAGCTTGAGCGAGATCTGAGCGCCATTAATTGGAGGGGTCTTGATCTCAACTGTCTCGATAACGTTGACGAGCTTGTGGAAGCTTTCACACAATGCGTCATGGGACTAATGAACTTACATGCCCCAATAAGGACACGTAAATTTAAGCACCCCCCGCATCCTTGGATAACTGATACCATCAAGGAGATGATTCGTATTCGGGACAATTACCACAAAAAGTACCTAAAACAGAAAACCTCAGTCCTCAGAAACAGTTATAAAACTATGAAGTGCCTTGTCTTGAATGCAATTGAACGTGAGAAGACCTTCTTTTTTACAAAACAAATAAATAATAATTTGAACAGCCCCAAAACCCTGTGGAAAAACCTAAAAAGTACAATTCTGCCGAATAAGAAGAACATTGCGGACCTCCCTTCATCGCTCAATGACCCAGATCTAATCAACACGCACTTCCTGAATGTACCAGGCGAGGACAATGTTACAATCTCACAACTTACTTTTTATGAGCACCATAGGCATGAAAACTCTGCTACGTTTTCACTGCACACTGTTAATGAAGACTTAGTCCTCAAGACCATAAAGGACCTGAGATCAAATGCACAAGGGAACGATGGTCTGTCTTTGGACATGCTTTTGCTCACATTGCCTTACTCGCTGGGGGCCATTACTGCGATAGTTAACCAATCAATACTCGACAGTGTATTTCCAGAGAACTGGAAGGTTGCAATTGTGAGACCGTTACCTAAGACAAGTCAGCCTGGTACAGTTCAGGAACTTCGTCCTATAAGCATCCTGCCATGCCTGTCTAAGATATTGGAAAGAATAGTGTGCAGCCAACTTACTGACTATCTCGAAGCACAGAACATCCTCCCACAATATCAGTCTGGCTTCCGGAAATGGCATGGTACGGCAACTGCTCTAGCAGACGTGGTCGACAATTTGTTGGCTGCTCAGGATAGGGGGATGCTAACGATTCTTACACTGCTGGATTTTTCTCGAGCCTTCGACTCGATCAATACATCCCTGCTGCTATCTAAACTGAGATATTATGGCCTTGACAGTAATTCAGTGAAATGGTTCCACAGCTATCTGACACGACGACTGCAATATGTAGAGCTAAAGCAGATGGATGGTACTTCACTGAGGTCACAACCACAAATCGTTACTCGCGGAGTTCCTCAAGGGTCAATATTAGGGCCAGTCTTGTACATCCTCTACAGTGCCGATATTATTAACACCATTGCAAATTGTCGGCATCATCTGTACGCTGATGACCTGCAAGTGTACCTCTCTTTTGCACCGGCTGATTGTACCAGTGCAGTAGCGGGGGTGAACGAGGACCTGGACAGCATCTCTGCCTGGTGCAGTTCAAACTGTTTGTCAATTAACCCCAAAAAGTCGCAATTCATGATCATAGGTTCGCCAAAGAATATTGCTAAACTTAAAGATATAACTTTAAATATTCATATAAATGGAGAACCTATTACAAGGGTTGACACAGCCAGAAATCTAGGACTTGTCATGGATTGCAACTTAAAATTCGAAAAATATGTATCGGAATGTGTTAGAAATAGTTTTTACCGGCTAAAACTCCTTTATAAGTTGAGACCCTACCTGAGTGAGAGACTGAGAATCACCCTCTGCGAGTCCTTGGTCCTCAGCAGGTTTAATTACTGTGACTCAGTGTATGGTCCATGCCTCTTATCAAGAACGTCCAGGCTTATTCAGAGAGTGCAAAATGCATGTGCTCGTTTCTGCTTTACAGTTCCACCTAGGTCACATGTTACGCCATATCTCAATGACGCGAACATGCTGAGGATGGAGGCACGCAGAAGATTGCATTTGACTACTATGATGTTCGGAGTTATCACTACAAAAAAACCGAAATACCTCTTCCTAAAGCTGGAGTGGGCCCGTGATCACAGCAGATACCCCAGGAGGGAGTGTACCCACGTTTTTGCCACTCCAAAACATCGCACCATGGCGTTTCGGGGCTCCTTCAGATTCGCTGCGTCACGGTGTTGGAACGACCTGCCTCCGCCTTTGCGTGTCCTACAAGTGAGAAACACGTTTAAAACTCACGTAAAAAAATACCTTATCTCACTGCAAAAGGCGGGTGGTGCTGATACACTTACCATGGGGTGCTCACGTCGCGCACTGGCGTTGGCGGGCCCGTCCCACCGTAAATAATTCCAGCAATCGCAAATAATACCAGATGTATGGTACATGGTATTTGTTTGGACTGTTTTATTTTTCTTTTCTTTTTCGGATTCGTTCGTTCGGTTAGGACTTGGAACAATTTCTTTTTTGTTTGTTGGAATGGCCACTAATTTAGTTTTAGTTGTTATTTAATAGTCTAGAATTTAATGTAATTTAAGGGAATGTTGTTGATTGTTTATTTGTTTGCTTATTTCAAAATTCCATTTAATATCGATCACTATTATAAATATTTTTAACCTTTTATTATCTCTTTTGTGTTTTTAACATTGTTTTTTTTTTTGACAACCATGATTACAATCATTAAAGCGTCCCCGTATTGTGCACCCTTTCGAGAGACACCCAAGTCACATAAATACATTCATATAATAATTACTACATTTTAAGTTAGTGTATTCTCGAAAGGATGTACAATGCCAACAATAGGTGTCCGCGGAAGACCAGCGTCTTGACATGCTCCTTGCGAGCATGTCATGACAAATGCTGAGCGGAAGCCTGTTTTGGCACAGTATTAGTGTATAATATATAATTTAATGTTAACCATTTGTATATGTGCATGCACTGCTGTGTCAATAAAGTTTATTTTCTTTCTTTCTTTCTTTCTTTCAGTTACTATGATATACTGAACAACTTAATAACTTAAATGTACACAAAATTGTCTTGTTCACAATGCCTTATAAAGAGGGATTGCCACAGAAAACTAAAGATAAAGATATAACTTAAATTTACAAATGAATAATTTAATATGTAATAATAATTTAAATTGACATATAGTAATGATAATAATGACAAATTTCGTTTAATAAATAATTTAATTGAGAAGTTTTGGACAAGAGATAGGTATAACCTATTCAAATTTAATTTAAGACTTGTACCAAATATGCTATTTTATTATTTACATTTTAACATTAGTGAATGCGACAATAGAGGCAATAAATAAAAAATAAAAATAAGGGTGTAATTAATTTAGAATGCAGCCAAAATATATACAAATGTAATTGTTTGACTTGACATTTGAACCTATTTGATTTGACAATGTCGTTAATAGACATATTATGAAAAGCAGAAAGAAGAGACAACCGTCATTAAAATTTGACACCTGTAGTACATATAATTTTAATATGGATGTTGCGCCAGCCTGATTAATAAAAAACAAATATAAGAATTTAATATAAAATACTCTTACTTTCATTTAAACAAACATATTTCTAAATAAAATGTAATAATTATTATCTTATGCAATTCACAAATTTTAAATTTACGCAATATTTAGTTTAGTATACGGATTGCAGTACAGTTCAGTTGAACATAGTCAATGTTCGGAATGCGAAATCTAGTGTGTAGTACATATAAATCAATGAGTAATAAGAATTGTTTACACCAGGTGCATCAAAATTTACAAGGCATGATGGGCAAAGAATTGAAATCTTAGTGTTTTTTTTTCATTATTATCTTTGCATTTTATTATTAGTAGTCTAAAAAAATACTAACTATTAATATGCATCATAAACAAATAGGTCTTGTATTTAATAAAACCTTTACTTACTTCTAAAACACTCTCTTTAAAAAGTCGCAAATCGTTTGATATGTGGGCGACATTAGGAATCCATAGGAGTAGGCAAAAGTTATATGACTTTTACAATGAAAGTTTATATAATAATAGTGTTTAATTTAGAGAATATGTAAAAAAATATTCGAAAATATTTAAAAAGTATATTGTGTAGTCAATTCTTCATATTTAAGAAACAAAATTAAGAATGCCTCTAATAAATTTAAAATGTCTTGGAGTATAATCAATAGTAAAACTGTCAAGATGAAATTACACAACTAAATTTTTCAATTAAATTTTAACAATAATTTGACAAAATCAGATCTAGACGTAGCAGCGGCTTTTGAAGAATATTTTACCGACATTCCGATTTTGACTACAAAGTCACTACTCAATTCCTCCCCTGTTGTCGCCGAGTCATTACTCAAATAAAAAAAATTAACAGTGGTAGAGCCACGCGACAGCTTTTGCTGTCACACGGATGGGCCGGCTTGAACCGGGGTAGTACCACAACCTCACAGAAAACCAGCGTGAAGTAGAGGTTTACCTCTGCGTTTCGCTTGGTGAGTGCAGGTGGCCGGAGGCCCTTTTTACTGGAAATTAGGCATTCCATCTTAGTCCTCACGGGTGACAACGTATCTACATTTTGATTTGTAACAAAGGATAGATGTAGATGTCTATGGGCCGCAGCAACCACTTACCATCAGGTGGACTGTGTGCTCTTTTGTCACCCTTATCCTATAAAAAAAAATGTCTGTTAAAAGGAATTTGTATTTCATAGAATATTATCAGGTGATATTGTAAAATATACATACATACATATACATAATACATAAACACTCACGCCTGTCACCCAGAGGGGTAAGCAGAGATTATGGAATTCCATTTGGCACGATCCTGACACACCTCTCGCTTCCTCCACATCCATATACCTACGCATACACGCTCGTCGGTTAAAGGTACTCTTGATTTGGCCCATTTTTAATATATCGCCAATTTGGTCGATATCTTTCGCCTAGGGCGACCCTTCCTGACTATGCCGTTCACCTCTGCAACATAAATTTGCTTTGTCACTCTTTCCTCATTCATTCTTTCTACATGGCAAAACCACCGAAGCATTCCTTTCTTAATCCTGGTCACAACATGATCTTGCAAACCATTTCAATTAAAAAAAAACAAACAATTTCTCACTCTGTCATTCAGATTTATCCCTAACATACTACCTTAATGACCACATTTCTACAGCATTTATTCTACTCTAGTGCTTCTTCTGCCACACCCAACTTTCACTACCAAACATTAAAGTAGGTACTAACACAGCATTTTGAATTGCCATACGTGCCTTTTTGGACACATTCTGACTTTTCACAATAGAGTGTAGAGCCCCATTCACTCTATTTCCTGCATTCACTCGTCGTTCTATATCCTTATCATATCTACCATCCCTGCTAAACTGGGATTTGGGATGTGTGTTTTAGCAGGGATGTAAAATATGTCAAAACTATTTATATTAAGAAAACAGCAGATCTATGGGGGAATTCGGTAAAAGTTATTGAGTCTTTAATATATGCGATCGCAAACCAACTTGCTATTATTTTCAATGCTAGTATCGAATCTGGTGTGTTTCCCGATTTAATGAAACATAGTAAAGTTATACCTTTATTTATATCTGGTAGTACATTGGACCCCACTAATTTTAGACCTGTTTCTGAACTGTCAGCGCTCATTTAAATTTTTGAAAAAATTATTCTAGATCAAAGGTTAGGCTTTCTTAATTTAAATAAATTACCCCATAACAATCAGTTTGGATTTACAAGGGGTCGCTCGACAACTGAATACGGTGTTGGGCTAATCAAACATAATATTTTCTGTGCGTGGTAATACTTAGGTACTACATCATTATGGTGTGAATAACATAGCGCTTAAACATATTATGTCATATCTAAATAATAGAACGCAAACAGTTGTTATTAATGCATGCAGATCTTTTGGATCAGTAGTATCTACGGGTGTTCCTCAGGGCTCAGTTCTTGGTCTCTTTCTGTTCTTAGATTTCTGTTATAAGAACCAGATTCGGCAGAAAGGCCTCATAAACCAATGCCAATCTCACAGGTGGTGCTTAGTGGGTAGGCACAGGAGGGGGAGCAATTTAGAACCTAGGTCCGAAGGAATCCCTTAGAGAAAAATTTAAAGAAATAAATATAATATTAACTTTGGCCTCTCAATATATTTACGAGAATTTAATGTATGTACTCTCATCATAGGGGGATATTTGCCATAGTTGCCACGCGTGGCGAGCGGGTTGCCAACCGCAGTTATTTTATTGTATTTTTGCTGTTATCAGGAAGATGCTGCTGCCCATCTCCTGCCTGTTTCCCTTTGTCACCTTTTACGACACCCACGAAAAGATATGGGGTAGTGGATATTCTTAACTGCCACTACATGACCAACGAGATGGAGTGACGACCTGGTAAGGCATGCAGGAATTCGATGGATGCAGGTGGCTCATGACCGTGCTTTATGGTATTCTTTGGGGGAGGCCTATGTTCAGCAGTGGACTTATGAAAGACTGTAATGATGTTGATGATGAATGTATGTACACAAAAACAAAAAAAAATGTGATGTACATTCTGTAAATACCAGGAACAAACACAAGTTAGTTATACCACTTACTCGACTCTAAAGGGTCAGTAATTCCTTTATGGGGCAATGTATACGCTTTTACAACAAAGTCCCAGAAAATATGCAGTATGCCTTTTCTGTCAAAAGGTTTAAATTATATATTAAGCAAATATTGTCTAGTAAGAGTTATTATATTACTGAAGAGTAAATGCTATTAATAATTTCTGAGAATGAGGTGATCAATACCATGCTGTTTCTAAATGTTTTGATAACAATTGTATAAAATATTATATTGTAAACTACCTGTTCCTCGCGACTTCGATCACGTGTTAGGGTTTTTATGTTTTTGTGCGGAACCCTAATTATTTTTCTAAAATAAAAGTAGACTAAATTACTGCTTACAAAATCAGCTATATGCCAGTGAAAGTTCCGTCAAAATCGGTCTAGCCGTTTCGGAGATTACCCGGAACAAACAGACAGACAAAAATTTTAAAAATTGTATTTTAATTATAAGTAGCGTATTTACTTCCACATGTACTTAGTAAAAAACTGTAATTTTTACATTACAAACAGACACTTCAATTTATTTATTTGTATAGATTGTGCTTTTTAAAAAAAAGTCCCGGTGGGTTTCTTGCTGGTTCTTCCCAGGACAGAGGTTTTTTGCGAACCAATGGTAAAAGTAAAAAAATACTTTCAATAAGTATGTAATTTAATCTATATAGAATAAAATGACTGTATTGTAATAATATGTCATAATGTCCCAATCATAATTATTATTATTTATTTATGAGCCAATTTGAACCAATAAAAATGATTAAAACATAATTTATTTCAAACAGACACTTAATTTGTACAAAATTAGTTTGACCCCGACGTGATTTGAACACGCAACCTTCTGATCTGGAGTCAGACGCGCTACCGTTGCGCCACGGAGTCCTTACTTGCATCGGTGAATTATAAGGCAACTATGTAAATTGATACCAGATGAAACTATTTCTCTATCATCAGTCCTTAAACGTCCACTGCACTACATGTTACTTCTCCCGATGTGGAGAAAATTCACTTTATTGTTACCCATGGCAGTTGAGCAAATTGCGCTATGCTTGCCAAACGCCGAACGATCACAATAACATTTGCGCACGCCTGTGGTAGAGATGTTTATACAGCTATCTGTCGGAAGCCATAAGTACTTTTTAACTTGTTGATTTGTTATTAAAAATGCTATATATGATTACCACTAGATGATACTATGATTTCCTAATAAATCACAAGAAAAATTTAAGATGTCAAAAATGAATAATTTAAGATCCGCGAAATAAATTATTATTACGCTTATCATAGCTAATTAATTTTTAGCATAATTAATATAATTGATTTCCGCAAGTAACACTTGATTATATTAATTATCAAAAAAATA